TCCCCGCCTCTTTAGTCTTTGGTCAGAGTGGATACAGAACAAAGCACGTGGTAGTCTAGCTTGCCTTATCTCAAACATGATTTGTTGCGGGCCTCAGAATTTTCGGCACAATGAGACATTGTTTTGCAGAGTGAACAGTATGGCGCGGGGCATTAATTGCAAGGTTAATCGCAAGAATCATCAGTTTCAAGAAGTGGAAGTGTGGACTAACAAGTACTGTTTTGTGCAACAGAACAGCAGCATTATTTGCCTTTTGTACAATGGAACAATAGCAGTGCCAAAAAAATTCAACCTGAAGCGACATCATGAAAGCCAACACAAGGATTTCCGTCTGCAAGGTACGGAACGCAAACGGAAAATCGAATCGTTACGACGATCACTAATCAGCCAACAAAATGTGTTCAAGAAACAATCTGGNATATATATATATATATGATATAATGTTTTTAGTCTGTTTGTAGAAGCATATGCGTTATTCTATTATTCTTGATTATCCTTAACATAAAACTATATCATTTCTACAAAAAGGATGTTTCAGTGTACATCTTAATTAAAGATAAAAGCAAATCCAAGTTGTTTTTATTTTAATAGCATAAAATTACAGACAATATTATGTATTCACAGATGTAGCAATGATAAATCTTGGCAAGGAAATTCATCCTAATTTAATAAACAGTTCCAAGTATTAAAAACTTTGCAAATTAATTAATCATATTTAATAAATTTTGATACAAAAGGAACAAAGAAACTATGTTCATATTTTAAAGAATATATAAATAATTTTATATGCCGTTATCATAAAAGAATAGTTTTATTTTAAGGATATTCAAATGTTTTATTTAAATCACTTTTCCAAAGGCTTTATTGCTTTTTTAAACTTTTCATAAAATAAGTTACTTTTTGTTGCTAATTTTTCATTTTTTTCTTGATGATGATTAATTTTATATATTAGAATGTTATATTGTCTATTATTATTTTGTTTTTATCCTTTAAGTAGCAGGCCCACTGAGTGCCATTACTCCTCAGCCCACAAAACTAGTCAAGCCAATGAGGACGTTATTAGAAGAACAGAGAGAAACGAGGCCACTTTTATATCGGGAAGATTCCGAAGAGGTGAACTTTTTACTTTTGGGTTTTTAATATTTCTTTGTTTCAATAATTTACAAATTGTATAAATTTTGTAGTCTGCAGACGAAGAGGAAAATAAAGTTGAACAAGCTCAAGAGAGTGACGAAGAATTTACCGAATTTGCATCATATAAGGGAACAGAAAGCGATGCAGTTGTCGATAAATCATTAATGCAGCACTCTTCGACTGCCGAAAGTTTGTTAGAATTACAGGTAATATTTCTTACATATTCCATATTAAAAGTTATATTGTTGTTTGTTTGACAGTTACAATTTGCTTAAAATATGTTCACAGACAAAAGTTGGAACACCAAGCATCATTTCCAGTGGTTACGGATCTCAAGCATTATCCACCACGCCAGTATCCAGTGAAGATTCTGTATCACTGCGTAGCTGTAGTGTAGAAGAAACACCTGATACCGATGCAACAAAACAAATTCACAGTATTATTGATAGGTAAATATCATCACTGTATTCTAATATTTTATTTCATACAATTCGACTTTAGATATATCTTTTGAAAAGCACTATTAACAAATTATTGATATGTGCATATTTGTTAATAATGCACATATCTACAGAATATATACATTTAATGAAGATAATGAATAAATGATTTTAAAAATTTAAACAAAATATAAACTATATCATAATTCAATGGCCAGATGCCAATGTAGTTAAGGAAACTGGATCCAGGATTCCAGGAAATCAATTCCTTGGATTTTTCACAAGTGCTTGTCTCAGATATATTAGATCCATTCCCTCATCTCCTGGTCACCCCATATCACAATATTTGATTAGCAAAAGATCTAATACAGTCGACCCCCTATAACACAGGTTCCTATAGTTCGAATTCCTATATGACAGCGAAAAAATTGCGACCGTATCCATACAAACATGGTAAAAAACTTCTATAATTCGGTAAAACGTCATCGGGCAGCCAAACTACTTTCCGCCGTCCAGCGCCACACTACGGAGAGTTTAGGCGGGTAAATTGAGTTTACTATCGTCTGTACAGTATTATATATAAATTATATATAAANGATCAACCCACGATTTCTTGCATTTAGGATTCTCAAAATATATCCATTTCTCATCACCAGTTACAATCCGATGCAGAAACGACTTTCTTTTTTGTCTGGCGAGCAAGATTTTGCATGTGTTTTGGTGTCACTCCATCTGCCTATCGTTCAATTCAGGCGGCACCCATTTTCTGATCTTCTGAATCTTTCCCATGGCACATAGACGCATGGAAATGGCTGGTTGAGTAACACCCAATTGCTCGGCAAGCATTTTTTGTGATTGGGTATCGTCCTCATCCAAAAGAGCCTGCAGTTGATAGTCCTCAACCTTCCTGGGCCGATTTTCACGCTTCTTGTCGCTCATGTAAAAATTTCCATCTTTGAACTGACGAAACCAATTTCTGCACGTGGTTTCCGATAAAGCTCTGTCTCCATAAGCCTCCACAAGCATTCGATGTGCTTTGGCAGCCGATTTCTTCAAATTAAAGCAGAAAAGCAAAGCTTGCTGCATATGCTCTTTTTCTGGCACAAAAGTAGGCATGATTACAAAAAAAAATATATGTTGTTGTATGAAATATCTGATGATGTGCACTGATTAATGTTGACAGACATCAAAATCATCAAAAAAACAATATGGCGTCATCATGGTAACTTATAAGCTCGCTTACGCCATCTATTAGCAAACAGCGGATTTGAGCTTATACACCTGGTATACTAAAAATGCCAAAAAAATTGATTAAAAAAAAAGGTACCAAATATGCATTTTACATATGCTTCTATTTATCAATTAGCCTTTAATTCCTCTTTATATATAATACAATATACTTTCTACAAATATATAGTATATAATTTTATTGAAGGGTTATCACACACTTCAATAAAATTATGTACTATGTATTTGTAGAAAATATATTATATTATATGCTTCTATGCAAATGCATGAGGTTCTATCATTAGTTATAATTAAATAATTTTAAATTTATTTAATTTTTCACAAGACCTAATGCAATTTTGCATATAAAATATATATGTTTTATTCATGCCTCTGCATTCATTTTAAATAACTGTGATTTAAATAAATAGTTATTAAAATGCAGATGCACGTCCTCAAATCATTCATTAATCCTATCTTCTGAATAGTTGGATTATATTACCATTTCAACCTCTTCCTTAGTGCCAATACATGTCCTCTAAGAAAGAATATGAAATGGTAATCATATGGGTGAGTTGACTAAGATTTAGTGCAGTGTTCCGCAACCGGTGTGCCGTCACAAAGGTGAAGGTGTGACATAAACTTTTACATATTCTATTAATTTCAAATTTTATTTATATATTTTTATCACAGTTGCTGTGTTTTTTATGCTTATATTTCATTCACTGCCGCAGCACTGATGAAATAAGACTGACGCCGCCAGACGACAACCACCAACCCGATAAGAACATTAGGCGCGTGATCATCAGGTTCAACCATCATTTAGACCCCCTATACAGGGAGATAGCTTGCCGTAACCGCATGAAGATTGCATACAGGAGAACCGGCACGATTTATGACCTGCTGTGCAATGCCAAAAACGCAATGGATCTCAGCATGGCCCCAGGTGTATACTCCATTCCCATCAGGGACTTGATTTACATTGGCTCCACCATCCGCTCAATGCAAAAACAGATACGAGAACATTAAGCAGATATTAAAAATAACAGGCACACCACCGCCTTATCGACCTACGTTACCAACCCTGAAATATGGGCGGACTTCCAGAATACCAGACTAATCAGACAAGCATTCCAAACTGATCACATCCGGCACCTGGAGGCCTGGGAGATTCATAAAGCTAACTGTCGGGACACCTGCATCAACTTCAAAGATGGTGAAATGATCTTGGCGCAGGCGTGAAGGTATTTGTTCAAGGAATTCAAACAGGGCCAGTCAGAGGGGTGAAACCCGGCACGCACGATTATTTACATCTCTGGCGACATCGTTACGATGGTCAGGAGGAAACACAGTCAGTCACCACCTGAAGCAGACCTTGGTGGAGGTCGAAAGCGTTTGTGGAGTTAGTTAAAGACATAACACTTGTACAAAAAGGTTTTCGTGGATTGTTATTACTCAACGAAGTGTTAAGCTGTTGGAAGTCGTTTTGTGAAATAAGACAATGTTTGTTTAATCTTTATTACAAGCCACACATTTTTAGGTATTCTAAGAAATTAAATGTAAAATAAATTTGCTTACAGATGTTGGTCTGTTTAATAATAATAATAGGTTCGTGGCATTATGTAATTCTATTAATAGTATCATATCATACATTTTTGAGGAAAATAACATTTTGGTGTGCCGTGTTGAGTCATAGGTGTGCCGCAAGAAGAAAAAGGTTGCGGAACACTGATTTAGTGAACCAACTCAGATTGCAGCAAAGAAAGAGTTCCTATATCATACAATAATGGGATAATATTTGTGACAGAATGAAGATGCCCATTCCAACTCTGTTGGATGGGCATCTTCATTATATATTACAGCATAAATTAGCAAATTTTTCAAAACGTTACCAACAACTTTACCATTTAATTAATTTTGTTACTAAATAATGTTTTAACTTTAATAGGGAACCACCACCAGGAATGGAAAAGCATATTCCAGTTATATTTTTGGATCTTAGTGGTAAGTCTATCAATTCAAATTAAAAAGTTTTCAATTAACTAAATTAATAAAATTAAAAATTTTTTTTTAAATAAATAGCCGATGATATGAGTGCACCAATCACAGGAGAAAATGATATCAGGGTAGCTGGTGCCAATTCCATTTTGCCAAAAGAGCATGGTAGTAAATTATTTACACTGCCGATAGTAAAATATTGTGAAAAGGAAGTAAGTATCAGTACCAAAAATTANCTAGTAAGTTGAGTTTACTATCGTCTGTACAGTATGTAAATTAGGTACCGTAAGTCTAATACAGCACTAATTCTATACATTTCTTATTCAATGGCCATAAAAATTATTTATATTAATGATGTCTCCAAAGTTCAACGAAATTTTTGCAGAAAAGTAACTTATCAGAAATCGTGGCCGCTGTTTGGTGCGCTGCTCCGCGACGAAAACAAGCTTAAGCAATGGCGATGTTGAACGGTGCACACTCAGTAAGTAATCCTACAATTTTTTGTTTATAGCATAGTTTATACGGATTATTCCCAAAAAACATATATGTATTTTGGAAATGTTGAGTCGAATTAGTCTAGGAATTGATTAATTTTATGGAAGAAAACCTTTTCAAACAGTCGTAGTCCGTAAAGTGCATACGTGCCGGGCTGTGATTGGCAAGGACTCATACAAAATGGATTCATAAAGAACGGAACATATCTACCGTGTTATAGGGGGGTTGACTGTACTAGATTATTAATAAGCTATAAGCATGGGATTATAATCATAATTTCATTACTTTAATTCAACCAGTTAAAACCTGTAAATGATCTAGCATTAAATCTTTAGCTAATAATGTTTCAAATGACTTTTGATGAACTTATAATTAATCATCTATGTACAGACATTTAAAGTTTTACATCATTTTTTATTTTTTTATTGTAATTAAATTTTTGTAACATGCTGCTGTTACCAAATGTAACAGTCTTGTTTCTCTGTGAGTGAATTTTACAATGCAGTTTTGGCAATCTCTTGTTCTAGAGAAAGTGTAGGGGAATGGTCTTGCAAGGTGAGCATTAGAATCCTTCCTTTCCATATTTTATTATTCCTATCTTTTCTGCATCTTTCTAGGTTAGACATATTATTAAAAGGCAATAGCTGCTTGTGCATTAAGTTACATTTTATCAAACATATTGTTTCTTCATGATTAAAAATTATACAAACTGATTTATTATTATATCATTTATTTTAAGAAATTTTTTGTTTGAAGTACAAATTTATATTATTCTAAAATATATAGCTTAAAATATTTTAGTGATTTAATTGTTTAAATTGTGATGATATTCTAGTATATAGGGTTATTAATCATTGTAGATTTGGCCAAAGATACAGATATAAAGCAATTTTTTTTCTGTTGATAAATTGTTTCCTTTCTGTAAATATCTTTATGTTGATGATTTTCTATTAAACTCAATTACTATTGGATACATTCCATTCCCCTTATTATAAATTACAAAAGGTAGGCTGAAAGTTGTCTCTACTTAAATAAATCCAGCAATGAGTTGCCTAACTTTCCTGGTTGTTAAGTTTTTTATAATAAAATCTCATTTCACATTACTGATTATCAAATGACAAAAAGTTTAATTTTGAGGGTATAGATGTTTTATAAAAAATTGTAAGTGCTAATAATGAGTAAAATTTTCATTAAGTCTGACCCCTCAAGATATGACACATGATCCCCTCTATCTGGGGTCCCCACCCCGCAACTTTTTATCCTTCAAAATTTAATGGCATCAAAGCTCC